ACTCTCAAATTGGAAATAGTGCAATGGCTGCCATGCCACATTTTACTGCGTCGTATGACGACTTTCTTCAATATCCATTGAACCTTCCCTCAGCGCTGAAACATGGAACATATGCGCTGTCTCAACATCGTCAACGCTTGTACGATTGTAAAGACCGACTTTTCGTTTCAGATAGCTCCAAGACCCAAGCTCAATTCAAACTGCCAGTCAGGGACATCTCCTCGACTGGAAGGGTCGACAAGCTCAATATCTTTAATGACAGCCAGTTGGAAAGCTTTCTCCGATGTGGCAACCCTCAAGGAATGAACAGTGGGTCCTCTTCCAATGGACATGTAGCATCTAAGCAGGATGAGCAATGCCGATTTATGTGAGTACTTCAGAAAAATGGGTTCGGCGATGCAGCATGACTGATCATATCCATGACAGTTTTCTATGGGCAGAGCACACTGTAGGACCACTGAGACTAAGTGCGATAATGCTACTTCGGCTTCTAAGCTTCTATCAAGTAAACCCACACTTCTTGGATTTTCTCTACGCCTATGCATCGCCGCACGCTGAGGACAGAGAGCTGCATTTCAGTGGCTTCAGGACCGAGAAGACGTTGATCAATCCGGTGCCCGGAACAAAAGTTCCGGAGCTTGGTCGAAGTGGTAGAAGATTCCAACTTTGTTACAACTTGAAAACCGCCGCACCAAAGCCAGGTGGTAATTGGAAAATCCGCCAGGCTGCCTTTCACCATCAATTCGATGTCGGACAAGCCACGCAGTTGTGGATCATTGGTGACCCGCATGCTGCCCTCAAAGACCGAATAGGTGAATTATATTGTGACAAGAACACATACGACACCAGCTTTTCCACCCTAGAGCAGGCATTCCAGTCTTCTTTAGAGACACACATTGCTTTTGCACAATGGGCGACTTCGGAGTGGAGATGGAATGTGCGGTTTCTTGAGCAAGGAGCTGAGGACTTGGTAAGACACCGACAATTGTTCATATTATTCGCCTTTCCATTTCTTATTGCTGACAATTTTTACATAGACCCTATCAGCCGCTCTGATCAATGAGAAGCGTCATATAGAATCATTGGATCCGGGATCACTCGGGAGCGTCCAAAGGTGGGAGGAGAAAACAAATGATACGATCATGGCTATGGAATCAAATGCCAATATCATGAAGCTCCTTCAGAGATTTTACAGAGATCTCGTCAAAGACGACGATTTTCCATCAAAGGCACGCCGTCTCTGTCAGCAGGCAGCGAAAAGTTTCTGCCTGCAACTCGACGAGTTGATATGCGAAACCCAAATGCAAATCTCCAGAGCCAAAGTGTTGATCAGGACTGTGGCGGATCGAAAGACTATCGTATGTTTCCTTCCCAATGTTCCGAGTGACGCCAGAGATGAAGCGTACTGATTGACATCTGTGATGAAAGCTCATCCAGCACCTTCAAACCCAAAACGCGCTCATTTCCTCAAAGCTTACGGCGAGTATGTATGATCAAGCCGACCGAAGTGCCGTGGAAGCTATCGCAGTGCGTATAGTCACGATAGTGACTTTAATCTATCTTCCGGCGACTTTCTCTAGTGTAAGTTGTTTCTTCTGCAAAATTTCATGCCTACTCATGCAGAAACATTTAGACATTCTTCAGTACCGACGTCGTTAAGTACCAGGATGGAGAGGTCTTTTCTCAAATAGCACTTGACAGATTTCTCCAAGTGACCCTTCCACTCATGTTCTTGACCTTTGTTCCTGCAGGAATCTGGTTCTGGCTGGAGCGACGTAGGCGCGCCAAAAGGTCTCATGAAACGAAAGGCTACTTTACAGATTTCTTCTCCCATGACACGGACAGCTCTACGCATTAATCCTTTGATGATTCCGTGACAGAGTCCTGAAGGTTTTTACGCCTGCAATCGAGCCGTTTCTGGTATTCTACGTGCTTTGACATAGACTTTTCTTTTCTGGGCGGACACTCTTAACTAACCGGGCGGGTCACTACCTGAACAAGGCGTTCGGTTTCCTCATATAGGTGAGCCTGACGTTTGGTATTATTTGATTCAAGATTGCCATCGCTGATCACAAGCACATGAGATTGAAGATTTATTGGGCAGTGGTAACTATTGCTTCGCAGCTTTCTGATATCCAGAACAACACATTTACCAGGGTTTTGCTCCGCAGCAAAAGATTGCCAATTTGAAGACGGTCGGCAGCAATGCATATGATAGGCATGTTTTCATTGGGTTAAATAGGCATTATAAATTGAACAGATGCACGCTCCATCATAATCACTACCACAGAACTGATCACTGGCTCGAAACCCTCTCGCTTTCCTTCTTGATATCCGCATCAAATTCCCTCCAGTTTGCCAATGTCTTCTTCTCAAATCCCCAAAACGGCTTCATCAGAAATGCAAAGAGACCACTGAAGTCTTCAGACTGGATCATTGTGGTGCCCCCAGGCGTCTTCTCGCTTGCCCGGAAGTAAAACGAGTGGGCTCCTGAAAAGATGTAAGGAAGGGACCCATTCCACCTGAAGATTTCTTTTGAGTTTTCCTGCCATTTTGTTAGACAAAAGGGTTGTAAGCACGGGTTTAAAACATACCAAAATGACAGGTGTGAAAGCCATTCCCTTGAGGGTGGTGCTGACGACGTCGCCCTCCTTTAGCTCAGACGGCTTCTTCGACTCGTCTTTGGTGGACATCTTCCACACTTTGGTCCACTCATCAAAGCGATGCCAGTCAAGAAACTGGGAAAATTCAGGAACACTGATATAACGAGACCAACGACGGGTGGTCACTTACCACTGACCTCACCGTTGCTGGCGGCGCAGCAATCTCAACCTCCGTCGCGATGCTGTGTGTGACACCCATGATGTTGTGGCTGGTCCGTGCACTTGTAGATGGTGGCTTGAAAGGTTGAAATGAGTCTCTGAAGGTTCTGAAGATGAAATGACGATGGAATTTTCCTGCTTTTTTTCTGTTTTAAGGAGAAAGGCAATGTTGATGATGTTTCTGTTTTCGAATGAACCAGTTCTTCAAAGGGCCAAGTCGCGGTCTTTATAGACATGCCAGACTGCCATCCTCACCAACTTCGCCGGGCGCGACATTCCTCCGCCGCAAGCCACAAACGCGGGGTTCGACAAACTGGCGCACCAGAATTCCGGACTGTGCCGTTTGAGGCGCCCAGCTAGTGTGCCCGACAAGGGGCGGCCGGGGGAATTGCAAGCGGGGTTCGGGGTTCGACTAAGCAAGCCACATTCTGTTATCGGCGCCGCGAAGGATCGGAGTGTTTACGCCTTTTCTTCTCATCGGCAAGACGCGGCGACGCTCCGACATCGTGGGCGCGGGTGCTTCTCGCGGTAGCCAAGAGTGGAAATTCGTAAAGCTAAATTCAACGGCCTTCGTCTGCACCAATCGAAGTGACATTGGGATCATCATGGTCGCGGCGTCGTGGCTGGTGAGGAGCACTGCAGCATCGTGGAGACAATTTGCGGAGGATCTGGCGGAGGATGGTGATCAACGCCGCTGCACTTGGAGACAATCGACCCACAGACCTCTTGTTTAGCCGCTGGAAGCAGGTTCTTATCTCAAACTCTCTTCATTTTGCGTTCATTCTCAGGTCAAAGGTTTCTCTCATGAGCACTTAGTACTGCCATTCCATGTTCACTCAAATACATGTCCTAGCGTAACAATTGGGCCAAAAATCAGCAACATCAAAGCCTGCAACCGCGTCTCTGTGCTAGGCTTCTCTGACTGGCAGTCGTTCCTGAGGTCTTGATCCATGAATGGATAAGCTTTGATCGCTGCCAGCTCAGACGCAACCCATCAGTGATCGACAAGAACCACGCCACGCGGGTGTTGCGAATAGCTTCAGTTTCTCATCCATCTCGAACCCAATCCCAACCCCTCGTCATTCGCCACTGACCTCGGAAATGTCACAACTCACCCCGCAACGCCGGAGTAGTCCAAGCCCCAACTGTCTTCCCAAAACACAACAACAAACCGCCAGAAAAGCTTCAACTCGTCCTCGCCGACCTCCACAAGGCGTCGAGTCTTGGCGGACAGCATCGGTAGGCTCGGCACCGCAACCTCAGCCAAGCCCCCCAGGAGAAGCGCGAAAGCGACGTTGAGGCTCATCAATGAGCCGATGGGGGATAACGCATTGTGGTATAGCCCAGCTGGGCGCTCAACTCCAGACGCCGTCCGTGCAAGGCAGCCCCTGCCAGCAAATGTGTCAAACTGATGAACAGCCTGCCGTTCGGTTGCTCCCGAGCTCCTCTCCTGTTGCCCTACGGGCTGGACCACTCCGTCTGGGAGTTCCTGTCAACTCTGCATGGCCCCCTAACGGGCTGCATCTTAGAGACCTCCTGGCTCGGTGATGTTGGCTCCAGCTCTCATGAAAGAATCGCACAATCACGCCGACAAAAGATTCAACCTCATCATTCAATTCCTCTCGGAACAATCTTGCCGAATCCTCAAAACACCCGGGACAACCGGGCCCTGACTGGGGCCAGCAGTTCACGGACACCGGAGTCAGCGAAGTGTGCGAAAAACTCTAAACTACCCTGCTTGAGTCGTGATCCCTGCACGATGCCTCCTATTTTCCCTATTTTCAGACTCCTCGGCTCCGCCACAGCAACGGGATGGCTCTGGTCGCAATTAACTCAATTCCAGCCCCTCGGGTCCGCGGGGAATGAGACGACGGGGAGATTGGCATTTGGCACGTTTTCCCTGTAGGGACGAACGGCGTTCTAGAAGCGCGCGGGAGACAACAACAGATCGGCCTATTTAACAACAGGCCCCCATCCGTCTCATCTCACGATCTTCTCTCTTCCCTCCTCACCCATCACCGCCTTTGCTTTCCCACAATCGCAACAAGTGTCTCTCACTTCAGTCCCTCACTTTCGTGAAACCACCCACACTCTTTTTCCAGAGCTCCAGTCACACCACATTCTTTTCCTTGTTTTTTCACCCAACAACAACCCCCGTTTCACCAAAAACTAGCCAACATGAAGGTCAACGCCATCCTCTCCGCCGCCGCCCTCGCCGGCTCCGTCTCCGGCCTCGCCCTCCGCCAGACCACCCCCATCTGGCAGACCCTTCCCGCGACCCCGGACCTCCCCACCCCCATCAGCACCACCACGGTCCCCATCAACGGCATCAAGATGTGGTACCAGAAGTACAACGAGAAGGCCGGCGCCGTCCCCATCGTCATGGACCACGGCGGCCTCGGCTACTCCGCCTACTTCGGCGCCGTCATCTCCCGCCTCGTCGCCAACGGCCACTACGTCATCGCCCTCGACCGCCGCGGCCACGGCCGCACCACCTACAACAAGGACGACGTCTTCACCTACGACCAGATGGCCAAGGACATCCAGGCCTTGCTGACCGAGGCCGGCGTCAGCACCTACAACGTCGTGGGTTGGTCCGATGGCGGCATCACCACCCTCGCCGCCCTCATCGACGCTACCCTCACCAAGCCCATCAACAAGGCTTTTGTGTTTGGCGCCTCCGCCAAGCCCGACCAGACCAACGCCACCTTCAGCGACACCGCCGTCTTCACCGAGCTCGTCTCCCGCTGCAGGACCGAGTACGGCACCCTCCAGCCCGGCGCCAACTTCACCGAGTTCGCCACCAAGGTCTCCGTCATGGAGGGCACCCTGCCGCAGTTCACCGACGCCCAGCTCGGCGGCATCGACGGCGCAAAGGTCATGATCGCCGGCGCCGAACACGAGGAGGCCGTCAACCTCGACGTCCCCGGCATCCTTAACAAGGCTATCCCCGGCAGCAAGATGACCATCCTCACCGGCGTCAGCCACTTCGCGCCCCTCCAGGACCCCGACCAGTTCACCAAGGCTGTCGAGGACTTCTTCAAGGCGTAAAAACTCTTTGTTCCTTCTGGCTGAAATGTTAAACGGGGCGTTCTTGGGGTTTGTTTTTGTATGATTTCGTTGATTTGGTATAGAGGGTACGAGAAGGCAACTTGTATGCGTCAACTTTTCAAAGCATGGCGGGTGTTGAGAAGATAACTTCAATCCAGCGACTGGACAAAACAAACGTGGTGTCTCCCTTTTATGATGTGAGTGTTGCGCTATGCGCCATCGGTTACATGGGAAAATGTGCCACCAGGCTTGTGAAAAATGACTCAAATTCAAACTGGCTAAGATGATGACCAAATTCTATACAACCCCCCAAAATCTCCCAACAAACTTCATATATATAAACCAACAACATCGAATGCAAATCGTCTACTGATTCAAGCCTTGCGTCGGCCCGTGCTCGGCCACCTTACCCTTATCCAAACGGATGAAGTAGTTGGCATCTTGGACTGCCTCGAGACGGTGGGCAATAGTGATGACGGTGCTAGTTGTCAACCCGTTTCTCAGTACCTCCTGCACTCTAGCGGCCGTCTCCTTGTCAATCGACGCAGTCGCCTCATCCAACACGACGATCGGGCTCCGTCGGAGGACAGCCCGACCGATGCCGACGAGCTGACGCTGGCCCTGGCTCAGGTTCTTGCCACCGCCCTCGATGTGCATGTAGAGATCCCAGTCGGGACCCAAGACGCGATGCAGGACACCGATGCAGTCGACATCGGTGTACTGATGCAGCGGGTCGAGGTTATCACGGAGCGTACCGGGGAAGAGTACCGGATCTTGTGCAACGAAGCTGACTCTCTGCCGCCACAAGTGGACGTCTACGTCGGACAGCTTGTACTCACCTATGCGGATGCAACCCTCGGACGGGTGGATCGTTGCGAGGAGCGCGAGGGCCAGGGTGGACTTACCAGACCCTGTTCTGCCCAGAACGGCGCAAGTCGATCCGCCAGGGATTGTGAAGGTGGCATTTGACAGCGAGGGATCAAGATGGGGTGCGTACTTCAGAGTGACGTTCTCAAAGCTGACGTCGTCGACGTGGTGAGGCCAGCTGGCGGGAGGCTTGGTGTCTCCGCAGGGCTCCTCTGGAATGTGAAGAAGCTCGATTACACGCTCAACGGACACAAAGTCCATCTGAAGGGTACCGTACTGCTTACAGAGGTTGTGGGTTGCCTCGACAAAAGACGAGGCGGTGGTGAGGACGAAAGCCGTCAAACCCGGCGACAGTCCCTTGTAGAGAGCCAGAAGAGTAAGCGCAAAGGTTGAGAGGGCAGATAGGGCGTCGAATCTGTACATCAGCCAAGCCTGCAAGCTCCAGTAGAAGTGGTCCATCTTCTGAAAGGCGTCGGTGACCACGATGTTCATGTTCTGGAAGTGGTGCTGGGCTTTGAAGGCACGGATCGTCGCCAAACCATCAAGGAGAATGCCAAAGTTGGACATCAGCGGACTCAGCGAGACCATCTCCAATCTTCGCAGACTTTGCGACGTCGGTAGGAAGCGCATGAAGACGTAAACGAACCACAGAGTCATTCCGACGGAAAAGAGAAGGAAGAGCGGGGTGACGGAGGCAATGACCACCATACTCGAGAACCAGGCCAGGGACCACCAAGCCACCTGCTGCAGGGGAGACATGATACCTCCGTCAATCATACCAATATCTGAGACGAGGCGGTTCATGAGGCGTCCGACGGGAGTGACGTCGTAGAATCGGAAGGTAGCCCGGCTGACTTTCTCAATGACCCGGCGGAACAGGCTCTTGGCGGCCTTGTAGATCATGAGCAGGGCGAGACCTTCAGACAAGGTGAAGATGAGAGCCTGGAAAATCGCGATTCCCAGATAAACAAAAAGCCACGGGCGCAGGTCGACATCGGGATCCGGGAGCTGGTCAAAGAGATGGGAAAGGTCCACGCCAGCCGAGGCAACCTCCACAGAGGTCTCTTCGTTATACGACTCGCCCCAGGCCTTGAGAAACCAGTAGTTGAGGAGGCTGCCCAATCTGAACAGACCAAAGACGAGCACAAGCGCGCCCCACCACTTAAGCTTGCCCGCCTTGATATAAGTCCAGTAAACAGACAACATGACTCCGCCGTGGGCTCGGTGCTCGTCTTCAATGAACTTGGATGGGATCGCGGCGTTCTGCTGAGTCTCATCGATCGTGTTCTCCTGCTCATCTTGATGGGCCGTCTGGTCTTCGTCCTCGAGAAGGAATTTCGCAATCTCATTAGATGCCTCTTCCGAGCTCAAAACGCGTGCGGTGCCGTCAACGATTTCAACCATCTGCTGAGCGAGATGGAGGCACAAATCGACTCTGTGAGTGACAAGGACAACAGTGCGACCTTCCACAAGAGAACCCTGAAAAAGCTTCTTGACAATGGACTCGGCGGTGTTGTGGTCCAACGCAGCGAGAGGGTCGTCCAACAGTAGCACCCGCGACTGGCTGTACACAGCTCGTGCGAGCGCGACTCGGGCTCTTTGACCACCCGACAACCCGATGCCGTTCTCGCCCATGTCAGACAAGTCGCCATGCTTGAAGTTGGCCAGGTCAGGAAGCAATGCACAAGCATCAAGTACTTGGGTATACCGAGCAGCGTCGAAAGGCGCCGAGAACAAGATGTTGTCGCGAATGCTCATGTGCTGAAGCCATGGGGATTGAGCGCAGAAGCCGATCGGTTCGGTTGGGATGATGACGTCGCCCATTAGGCGATCCAGTTCTCCGAGAATCGCCTGCAACAGCGCCGACTTTCCCGAGCCAACCTTGCCGAAGACAACGGTGAGACCCTGGGGAAAGGTCAGGTCGAGGTTTCTCAACACTGACCGCTCATACCCGGGCCAAGCAAAAGAGGCTTTGGTGAACTTGATGTCGTTGGTCAGATGGTCAGTGTACACGCCATCCTTATCAGGCTCGCCCATGAACTGTTCGATACGGCCCATGGCGATAGATGCGTTCAAAACTACGGTGATGAGGTTGGGCAGCTCCTTGAAGCTGGTTTCCAGCATGGCAAACAGCTGAAGAGCCGGGAAGGCCACGTCGACGGTGAGAGTCTTGCCAGCTAAGAACGTATAAGCGAAGAAAGTAGCCACAGGGAAAAGGGTCCCGGAAGCGATGTTGATGGTAGCGATGGCGATCCTCCACAGACCCGTAACGATTCTGGTGTTGAGCTCGCGCTGTCTGGTGACCATGATGCTGTCCAACCACTTGGATTGCCAGTCATACCAGCGGAGGTGTCTGATGCCTTCAACAAACTGGGATGTCGATTGCAACCTCGCGTCCGTTGCAGCCCTTCGAAGACGCTCTTTCTTTAGAAGCTGTGCGATGAAGATGGTGTTCAAAACTTGCGCAACAATGACGCAGGCCATGCCCAAAACACAAGGCCAGCCGAGGAGCTGCCAAACGAGGACGAAGGACAGGATAAACTGAAGCGGCTTCGTGACGAGAGTGGGGAATTCCCAAAACCGCTGGGCAACCTCGTAGACATCGCTCCTCATGAGGTTCAGGATCTTTCCCGTGGTAGCAGGCTGTCTGTGTTCTTGCAACTTCTTGTACTTGTGGTTGTTCTTCTTTGGTGACCGGAACCAAGATATGATCTTGCGAAACCGGCTTGCAGATTCGCTGTCTCCGTTGCTGTCGTCGGCGTCGTCGTGATTGGCATCGCCATTGGCAGCTCCGTCGCCGGCAAGCATCTGCTCCGCAGCAGGTTGGCCGAAGAACTTTCGAGAGAGGGTCTTAGCATAGAGTGTGGTGATCATCTCACCTCTAGATCTTTCGTAGCAGCGTCTCGAATACCATAGCTGGAAGACCGCCGACTGACAAGCAGCAAGACGGACAGCAAGAATAGCTATTGCGTAGAGAACAGATACCTCCACGTTTTGATCGCCGCCTTGGATTGACTGCAAGAGCTGCTTCAGCAAGATCGGAATAGACAGGTTTGCGGCGGTCTCGATGATTCCTAGGCACGACTGGATGATGAGATCCATGCCATTGGCCGAGATGAGCTTGGTCATCATCGAGCCACGAAGATCGCGGAAGAGGGTGTGAAGCCGGTCATGCTGGAAATCGAAGGGCAGCTGCCAGACGTCCTCGTCGTGGAGCTGCTTCTCGGAGCCCCTGGCGATTAGAGGCCCCATCCACGATACCGTCATGAACTTCCATAAAGTGAGGTTATCTTCAGGGCTGCGAAGTTCGTAACTAGGGTCGGAGTGAGCGATGCCGTCGTCACCGAGCCGGGGGTCCCGCATTGGCATCGCAACGATGCCCATGAGTGCAACAAGGCTGATTAGAGGGTCGACGACTGTGGGAACGGAGATGTAACCGTGGAGCTTGTAGCTGAAAGCGGTCGAAACGATACCGCAGGCAAATATGCTGAGATACAGACTGAGCAGAGTCTTTGGGGTCTTTGACGGGCGGTCAATGGCAGTGATGAGGACTGCACCGACCCAAGGCATCAGGTCCGATATAATGAAGAGATTCCGCGGGGGAGCCACGGCTGCAAAAGTCGCCTGGAGCAGCCCGGCTGCGGCAACGACGATGAGATAGACGGTCCAATACGTCCATTTCTTCTTCTGAGGGGTGTGAAAAGCGCTTGAAAAATGTGATTCCTGGGCGAAGGCACTGCACCATGACGGTCTATGCCGTATCAGCGGACGAGCAGCGACCAGACACCACAGGAAAGCTGCTATGGCGGCGCGAACGAGGTTGGTGAACTCCATGACTTTGGCGGCATCGAGAGATTCCGTCGAGACCCAGGAGGCGTTCCCAGTCTTTGCATGCGGGAAGGCATGCAGAGCCGGAGCCCCAAGCACATCTTGAAGGGCTGCATAGCCGTACAGGGCCACGCGTTGGCCACCCAGGTCGCGGGCATCGTCAAAGTTTGCAGAGCTGCCCATGACGGGCGAGAAGTGTGGCAGCTGGCCGACCAGGATTGCAACGTGTGGTACCGTGGTTGCGGCACCAATCAGGCTCCAGCCGCGGGGTCGTGAGCCAGAGGAGACGTTGAGGTTGCTGGTTGGAGGTTTGTTGACTGACGCGCCGTACAGGTACAGGTCGTACGGGTACAGGTTCCGATTCACCGCTTCAGGTCAATTCGCTAAGGTCGTTGATTACTGCGCCGAATCCTGCTGCACCTGACCTCTCACGTGAAATCTCCGGTTAACAGCATTGTGTCTCGTGTAGGCGAGGCCATGGTCCGCATTCGGCCGGATTTTATATCGCAGGCGGTCGAAAATCGAGGTGTAGACAAAAACGACTGTTCAAGACACGGAACCGGTTTTGAACAAAGGCAGGCGACGAACCGGAGGGGCCCGACGCTTTCAATCTACCGCTGCTCAGGAACGGGGATGGTACGGAGCCGAGTAAGACAAGATTAAACGCCGATAGTGCTTTCACTTTGCGGTTGATGACATAATGGTCCACTTGGGGGCCAAAAGAGGTGGTCATAGCTTCTGGTTCATGCACGGCGGGACGGGAGTACCTCGGCTGTCGGCAGTGGTGATACAAATGTTCCGACAGACCATCTCCCGAACAAAGACCTGGACCTTAGGTAAGCGGACTGACTGACGGTTCATCTCTTTCAAGCAGCAGCCAATTTCCATTGGATACGAGACACCCCACAATCCGAACGCGAACCCGACCGTCCACCCTTGACCGATGTCCCCCCCCCAGGCCCGCCAAACACCAAGGATCTGCATCACCAAGCAATCCAAGCATCGCGGTTCCAACTAACGCCCTCCCACGCGAGTGCTACTGTACGGCGCACACCAACATCAGTGGATCCTTGGACACCGCTGCTAATCAAAGGCGCTGGAAATGCGCTTATGCGGGGAGCCATGTCCCGTCGTCGGTGGACCTGTTGGCGCTGGCCCTCAGGGGCTCGCGACGGACCAGACGCCGTCTGCCGGTCCTACGTAACCCCCATTGCCCATGCCGTCCCGACTTCAAGCGGATCCCATGCTGCGGTGCGCTTCGAGAAGATGGGATCGACTACATAAGGCGAGCGTCCTGTCAGTTCGTCTGTAGTACCAGCCCCTCCATCTCGTCTCGACTACCATCGACCATCAACACATCATGGCGAACGTGACCGAAGCCCTCGCCTCGTCAGGCGTCTTTGACCAGTACTTATCGAAGCACTTGCCGGCAGCCACTGCGGGTTTTGTCTTCATTCTCTTCGCCTGGTTAGCGCAGAGCTTCTTCAAGAATGACCCCTTGGCGAACGTCCCTGTCGTTGGAGGACAAGGTGGGGCATGGAAGAAGCGGAAGGAGTTTGCTGCGGGAAAAGGCTCCGATTACTACATTGAAGGTTACCGAAAGGTGAGTTCTTTGGATTATTTTGCGCTGATGACAGGGTTAATCTATCTTATAGTTCAAAGACAGCATCTTCCGCGTTAGCACTTTGAGGAGTACGTCTGCCCCGCGCTATCCCACCTTAGCATCCCGCTAACATACCGCAGAGCGTGATACTATCTGCGTCCCGCCAAAGTATCTTCCCGAATTGAGGAAGCTTCCCGACGATGTTCTCAGCTTTGACAAGGCCATTGATGAGTCCATGCAAGTCAAGTACACCAAAATCGAGAGTGACACGCCTCTCGTGGTACACACCGTGAAGGCCTCATTGACTCCCGCACTCCGTAGGTTGCCTGTCATCTTCAAATCCAATGTAAGAACTGCCACACTGATACAAAACTCAGCCCGCCTCAATGCCCTCATCTCCGATGAAGTCGTTGAATCCATGCGCCTCGAGCTCCCGCAGTCCACCGACTGGACCGAAGTCAACATCAACGCCAAGCTGCTCCGCATCATCGCTATGGCCTCCGGCCGCGTCTTCATCGGCCCCGAGCTCTGCAGAGACGAGCGCTACATCGACGCCTCCATCAACTACACCATCGACCTCATGACCGCAGTCCACGTCGTCGCCTTCCTCCCCGGGCCCCTGCGCCCCATCGTCGCACCCTTCCTGCCCCAGGTCAAGAAGCTGAACCGCCGCATCGTAGAGGCCGAGGCCGTCTTCCGCCCCATCGTCGACGCCCGCAAACAGGCCAAGGCCGCCGCCGGCGACGACTATCAGGAACCCGACGACATGCTGCAGTGGATGATGAACGCCCAGTCAAAGTTCGGACAGTCCACCAACCGCCAGCTGGCCCTCAACCAGCTCGGCATCAGCTTCGCCGCCATCCACACCACCTCCCTTACGACCACCAACGCCTTCTACTGGCTCGCCGCGAAGCCCGAACTGATCCCGATCCTGCGAGACGACGTCCAGCAAGCCCTCCTCGAGTCTGGCGGCCAGTTCTCCAGCCCGGCACTGCAGAACATGAAGAAGCTCGACAGCTTCCTTCGCGAGGTCCTCCGCTGCTCCCCTTTGGGCGCCGGTCCGTCACCATCCCACAAAACACCCCTCCCCAGAATTCACTAACAACCCCCCAGGCTCCTTCCAACGCAAGGTCCTCAAGGCCATCAAGCTCCCCAACGGCCAAGTCATCCCCCCAGACAACGTCATCGAAATCCCCGCCGGCGGCGTCAACCTCGACGACGAGATCTTCCCCGACGCCGAAGTTTTCGACGCCCTCCGCTACTACAAGCTGCGCCAGGCCAAGGACGCCGCCGAGTCCGGCTCCAAGGCCGCCGAGGTCGTTGCTAACAGCCAGTTCGTCAGCGTCGGCACCTCCCACCTGACCTTCGGCTACGGCCGCCACGCCTGCCCCGGCCGCTTCTTCGCCGTCAACGAGATCAAGATGATCATGGCCAACATCCTCTGCAACTACGAGATCAAGCTCCCGAACGGCGTGACTGAGAGATACGAGAACATCAAGTTCGGCGCCGGTGTAAGTGGAGAACCCCCCTTTTTTTTTTTTTTTTATACAACGTGAGATGATGGCTGACAAGATGGAGATAACAGTCTGTCCCCGACCCCACAAAGACCGTCATGATCAGGAAAATCTAAGTGGTCGTGGTTGCGCCATATTTCCAATCTCATTCATTACATGTAGAATCTCTCAGAATTTCATTATTTTTAGCGCGCAAAGCATCCATAGGGTCAGATTATTAGGCATCACAGGGGTATCAATTCAAACTTCCATCTCATCAACACTGATCTGCTCCATCATGCTCTTCTTGGGCCACTCAATCCAAGGCCTCCACTCGTCGTCGATAACCTCATCCACCATAAGCATCACCCCCATACTCCACCCGGAACACGCCCAATCGTCCCGCCGCTCACACATCCTCGACAAGGCCGCAAAGTGCGCCAGTATAACCAGCGCCGTCGCGTGCCCGCTCCCAATCATCTCGATAAACAGCGCCGGCAGCGTAACGCACCATCCCCACACACCCCCGGGCATGGCATCCCCGTCGCCGGCCGCCGAGACGATCTGATGCGAGCGCCGCAAGCTCTCGAGCGCCAGCACGCACACGCTCTGCTCATTGATAACATCGTGGAACGAGGCGGGCACCTCCCTCGCAAGCGCCGTGACCGCGTCGAGCCGCCGCTGGAACGCGCTGCCCGCGTTCATCATGCCGGGTGGGATCTCGGGCGAGCGCAGGAGCATGTCCAGCGGACCGCCGCTCTGGCGCCACTCCTCGAGCGGCTGGAAGTCGAGGATGCCCTTGACGCCGTGCAGGAAGCGGAAGGACTGGGCGACGTCGCCGAGGCCGACGGCGCGGCCGACCGTCTCGGAGTGCGCGACGGAGTAGACGCTGACGATGAAGATGAGCGAGGCGAGGAAGAAGTAGGCCTCGCAGTTGGACTTGTCAATGTCGTTGAGGCGGGCGGCGAAGAAGCGCAGCGCGAGGTTCTGGTGGTGCACCGAGATGAGATCCCACTTGCGGCGCTCGGCCGGGTGGACGTGAGCGTAGTGCAGCGCTGCGACGGCCAGCAAGCCGTGCATCAGGAACTTCTTTGGAGGTTGTTAGGGGGGTTGTGTTCCATATCGAGATAGAGTTCTCACCACCAACCAACCCATGGGAGGGGGGCCATCCCGGGGAAGTGGGCAGTGGGCAGAGAAAGGCAAAAAAAGACAAGACTTACATGGGAGCATGCCATCTCGGGTATAGCCGTCTTCCACAGCTCCTCAGTGCAGGCATCCGACGGCAGGGCGTTGCATGTCACGGTGCTGTAGTGGTGCATTAAGCGCAGGCTCTGCAGCCAATCCTCCGATAGGAGGTCCAACCCTGGATCCGGGGCCGCTGAGCCGGCGGAGGAGGCGGAGTGGTGGTGTTGGTGGCGGGGGTCGACGAGTGCCGGGTCGCCTGCGTATGGTGACGTGCTGTTCACTTTTTTCCCGAATGAAAGTTTGCTCGTTAGCCAAGCGCCCCTCGGAACGTTGAGGGTGACATGAACGACAGGCACGCATCACACACCAAAGGAGGGTTGCTTGCAGATCGCCGTTCGTCCTGTTGAATACTCACCTGCTGTGGGTGTAAGACTGACATCGCTGGCAGCAGCAGCTGGAGCCGGAGCTGAGGCTGGCGTCGGCGCGGCCTCATGCGAGGCTTGTATCGGGACGTATCCTCCTACTACCGGCAGTTTTGAGGTTGTCGTCGTCGGCGTAAGGGGCGCCGTCACGGCCGGGAGAGGGTCCAAAAGGCTGCAATGCGCGCCGTGTGCGACGCAGCGGTGGCATGGCCTGTTCTCATCGCACTGGAAAAGAAAAGAACGCGCGTCAAAAAACCATCTCGCTCTCTCATGTTCCAAGCTAAGCGTTTAAGATTGCTTGAAGTACACCTTCCTGCGGCATCACAGTTCATCGTACCTTGACACGACGGGCTTTGCATCGCACGCACCCGTTCCTCGACTTCTTGTGCCCAAGCCGTCGGGTGCGCTTCTCCATCGTTCAGCGACTGTCGCCAACCGACTGGGCGGTATGCGAAATGACGTTCTTTGCGTTGGTGGATCGCTAGGGAAAGTGAGGTTGCGGCGTCCTCGTCAACGGCGACGGCGAGAGACGGGTTCGGGTTCGTATACGAGCGGTAGTACCGTCAGAGGGGGCAGTGTTCAGGAAACGAAGGGCCTCGAATCAAGGGGCCAGCGATTTTAAGAGAATGCGAGCAAATTGGTCCTTTACGACCCGCGGGGGCTCCTCCCCTGCCCCCTCGAGCAGTTAGCCTATGAGGGCATCGGGCGGTCCCGAATACGGGACTCGCAGCGGCCACAGGGCGGTGCAACGAGGAGTGATTTGTGGCATTCGTTGCGCTGATCAAGGGGGTGCCCACGGGAGATTGCGGGGAATTCTGGCTAGGGCGCTGGTGGTGAGCCGCTGAGAGATGGCGGAATACGAATGCGGGGCGTGCGGATGATGCGAATCCGAAGGTTTTGGCGGCTTGGTTTAACATGGCTCGGACGGGAGAACGTTTGTTTGTTTGAGATTGAGTGCTGCACAAGAATGCGGCAACCTGCAAGAGTTCTTCCTTTTTGTGTTTGAGGAGAGGCAAGTATGCGATGGCGCGAACTTCATCGGGTTTCTTTTCGCAGCGAATACGGATGGGTATATTTGACATCTTTCTGTCGCGGTATACGCGGATTTGGACGTGGCCGTGGCTATGGTTATTCATCTCGTCTTGAGACTGCTGGAAATGCGGTGATCCTTGCGGCGGTCGGCTCTCCGGCACGATCAGTCAGGGAAATCCATCTCCATGCTCGTCAGCCTGGCGGTTTGAGGAACCGACCCCGAGAAGTTTGCGAAGGCATGAACACCGAGCCGTGCGAAGATATCGGGACCTTCGTAAAACCCGAGAGCTATGAGCTGTCATTTGGCGAGGTCGGGAGGTCGTTGGTTCATGGTGCTGACGCCGGTGATCGTCGACGCTGCGGTAGCGTGCAGGAGAAGGTAGGAAGCATGACGGTGAGATTTTGGTACGACGCGGGCGAACGAAGTGTTTTGTTTGATGCCAAGCCGGAGGTTTTAAACGGCGGATGTCTTGATATGACCGTATCCAGGTCGTTTTGCGTATTGGTGATGAGAAGGTGTGAATACGAGCTGCTGCACTAACAATTTCTCGAATTCCTTATCTTATCGCTCTCAGCAGTGTTTGGTTGAGCCAGGAGCTCTTACCTTCCTCGGCTTCTTACCTTCTACACTGATGTAACCTCACACCGAAGGAATGTCAAATCGACAGGGAAGCTGCGAAAGATCAGAAACTTACAACTGCTATTAAACCAAATCATTCTCGACGCAGCATGGTCGGACGACTCACGACTCATTCTTCGAGACATGACAAAATCACCGCACATATGAATCGACCGCTAACAAGCCTCGCCGAAGAAGACGACCGGTGGAATTCGGTGAGCGCTGATGATGACACACGAGAAAAAGCAATATAGATTCTAGGCTCGGTGACGATCCAATGAGATCAAGAAACCCCGCCGTCACGGAGTTGCGGGGTAGGTTCATCTCATATGCTCAAGAAACGGATGGATAAGGGAGTCCTTACGCTTCATGTCGCTTCAAGTGGTAATGAGACTCGGCAAAAGACCGACGATCAGCACATACTCATCCGTCAACGAAATCACGAGAACCAATGTCTCCAAGCCAAGTCATAAAGCCGGACCCCGGAACTCCTCCCCACGGGAACAGCTCACGGAAGCGCCCGAGAGACAGTCCTGACAGTCTTGACCAGTCCAGCGTCCACGACACAAAAAAGCGCATGATCCGCCATCCCGCCGCGCCTCCGCCCCGTCCTCCCGAAGCAAAGCTAACCTTCGGCCGCTTCCCAATCTCCCGCTCCATCGAATACAATCGGAACCTCGACCACCTCGACATCACCGGCCCCCGTGGATTCCACCACGTCCGCCGCCCCAGAACATCCGCCTCAGACCGGTCCTCCATTATCGTCGCCATCGCAGGCGCCTATCCGAACAACGGCACCGGAGGCGCTCAGCGCTCATCCTGCGGCGTGTATTTCGGCGACAGCTGCCGCGAGACCCGAGGCTTCAGCGTCGACTCCGGACCCGCCACCCCGCACACGAACCAGCGCGCCCAGCTCCACGCCGCCATCGCCGCCCTCGATGCCGTGAAGCCGTTCTGCGAGAAAGGGGGGACATTGGGGTAGTGCCACAAGCGTGGACGAGCAGCGCAGGGTGACGCATGTCGTGATTAAGTCGCATTCATCCTACGTCGTTGAGGCCGTCGGAGGCGGCAAACGGGGACAGTCCCCGTACATGGAGAGGTGGATGGCAACCGGCTTCAGAACTGCCCAAGGTTTGAGCATAAAGAACCTCCAACTTTGGCGGGACGTCTTGCAGCGCCTGCGGGATGTGCAGAATCTGGGTTCGTTTGTTGAGTTTTGGCTGGTGCCGAAGGCTGAGAACCAGGCCGCTCGCGAGCTTGCGACTGCGGGGCAATCCAGACGGGCTGCGGCAGAAGAAGTGATGGCTAGCTTCAGAAACGCTTATGGCCCTTTCCCGACGGTGAAGAAGGAGCCGAAGTGACTCAGATGAGGTTATCTGAGTGGTTGGCGCGGAATTCGTGCAAACGAAGCTCGTTTGCACGAAGACAGGGTCTTCTTTTGCCCCTCTATCCTCCCGCCCCTCCTCTTCAACATATCTCTCTCACTCTTCACAATTATCAGAGTCTCAAGCTCATCTTCCAGTTAATCTCACATTCTTCTTGCTGCTGCTGTACGCAGATAGATCTGCAGCGACGAGCTCACGATGCCACCACAACAGGCCCCTATGCAGCGCATAACCGACATGGTGCTTTCTACTTCCACCGCCACCCACCCAGACCACGAGACTTGCTTCGTTCCTGGAATAAAACCTCTCTGCCTTACGTCTCAATTTCCAGACTCCCACGTGGATGTGTACCAAGGCGACCTCGCCTTTCTCGAATCGCCCGGTCCCGCCATCGACCCCAACGGCGGCCGTTTCGTCCATATTCGCTGCTATCGACAGGACCCCGGCACCCTTCGCCGTGCCTCGCATTGCGACTCTCTGATCATCGCCGTTGCAAGCGCGTGTCCGGCCAACGGCCCCAACAAGTCCGCGATTGGCGTCTTTTTTGGCCCCAACAACCCCTTTAACCTCAGCCTAGCAGTGCCCACCACGTACCGCGTTGAGAAGGGATGCGAGAAACTGCTCTTGCGTCACACGAAGCACCGCGCTGAGCTATACGGCGTAATCGCCGCTCTCAATGCCGTCTTTCCTTTGACACGCCACGACCGTTTCGAATCTGAAACAAACGGCAACATACCTTCTACGCTCAAGCACGTTATCATCAAGATTGAGTCGGGGTACATTGTCGATAAGATATGCAAAATGAAAGCACAGCGGCCTCTTGTCTTCCACCAGGCTTGTGAAGCTGGTAAATCTGACCGCGGTTGCTTGGATCACTGCGATCTTTGGCAGGAGCTGCGTCAGGGGTTGGTGGATTTGGCCAACTGCGGTACTGTGGTTCAGTTCTGGCATATTCCTCGAGACCAAAACTTAGAGGCGGACGCATTGGCGAATGTGGGCTTGGGAAACCCCCTTTCCCCAGCTGTAGATGAGGAAGTCTCAGTGCATTGGCTCAGGCGCATCAAAGTTGATTCAGCTCTCAAGCTTGAAGAGTATGGTTGTTGTACGGAATGGTATGACTGTTATCAGCGCATGGGAACACGTGATTGAGGGATTATGGTCTTGTGCTCGGCGTTCGTGGCGGTAACGGAGAAAGCGTATGTCTATCTAGCTTTGAACGAAAGGAGAGAGAAAAGAAGCAGCCGTTTTGTTTGTTTGGCAGAGATACTATTTGGCAAGCAGTAATATGCACAAGCACCGATCGCTCTCATTGGCACTGCATGCGTGTGCCTGCTGCTCTTGAGCTCACGTTGGGGTCCAAATGTCCAGACATTTTTACTCACTGCCTGGATTTGATCAAATCAACCGCCTGTTCACAATGTCAGTACACCACTCAAGCTCACTTTCTCACTCAAAGATAACTCACCTTCTCAGCCAGCATATAGACCGTCTGCTGCGTATTCGCCCCAGGCAACATCGGCATAATACTTCCATCAAGAACCCTCAACGTCTCCGTCCCATGCACCACAAGATCCTCGCCCACCACCCCGCCCATCTCAAGCGGCTTCTTCGCCGCCGTCGCAATCGGGTGGAAATTCGTCGGGATATACTGCTCCCGTATCCATCTCCGCAGCGCCTCCCCCGTCACATTCCTCCCTGGCGACGTCTCCCGCGGCTCGTACTCCGCAAAGTCCGGGCTGTCCATATACCTCCGCATGAACTCGATCTCCTCGACCATGACGTCCAGATCCGTCGGGTTGCTCAGCGCGCGGTAGTCCACTACCGGCTCCGCCTCCGGGTCCGCCGGGTCGATGTTGATCGTCCCGTGGCTAACCACATGCATGCTCATCACGATCCCGCCCGCGCCGCCCATCAGTGGCAGCCACATCATGTTCGTGTTCTTGCTGCGCAGAAGCTTGGCGTGCAGCTTCTGGAAGGCCGCGTAGCCCGCGATAACCGTCGGGTGCGTGTCCGCAGGCAGGAACGCCGCCGGGTCCTGCGCCTCGTACCGCGCGGCAATCTCCTCAAAGCGGTCCGCCGTCATGGTCGGCAGGCCGATCCACGCGCCCAGGTTCGGCGCCGCGACGCTCCACGGGTCGCCGTTCGCCGGCACCTCCGGGCCCCTGGGGCCGCTGCCGTTCTTCCCCCACTCGTACCCGACACTGAGGTATGCGTGGTCCTGGAAGTTCTGGCCCACGCCGGGAATGTCCAGGAGGACCGGGATGCCAGCCTTGTCGAGGAGCGGCTTCGGCCCGATGCCGCTGAGCTGCAGGAGCTGCGGGGTGTGCACGGCGCCCGCGGCGATGATGACCTCCTTTTTGGCCTTGACGGTGACGGATTGCCCGTCGCCGTCGCGGGAAAAGAACTCGACCCCGGTTGCTGCGGTTCCGTCGAAGAGCACCCGCCGGACCTTGTGTCGTGTGATCACGTCAAAGGTTGGTCTCTGAATGCCGTCGTAATGGCCTGTTCGCGAGTACGATCGTCTGTACGTCTTGGGGTCGATGGATGAGGGGAACCAAAAGAGGCCGTTGTCGCCGCCGGCGCCGTCTAGGGGCACCTCCATCCGCGGCATCTTCTTGACGGCTTGGTAGGTGGGGACTACGAACCAGTCAGCTTTTCCTCACCCGTCTGAATTTTCTGATTCCACAAACTCAGCGTCGGGTTCTGGTACTCGGGGAACGAGGCAAAGATCTTGGTGTTCTCTTCCATCCCCCAGGCTTCCGGGTCCCAGGTGATGTTGAACGCCTCGGCGAGCTCTTCCTCGGGAGGGGTGAAGTGTACAGCCTGCGGTCAATATCAGTGACGATCACATATAAGAGATGGGCGTATGGTTTCACCTTCTTGAAATACGGCAAAATGCCGTCCCAGTCCCAAGTCGAGTCGGGTCCTCCCAACTCCGCCCAGCCGTCGTACTCAATTTTGGTTCCGCGCACCATGACCATCCCGTTGATGGCAGAGCTACCTCCAACACAGCATCCTATCCAAACGAACTGCGTTCGGTTGTTCATCTCGGGCTGCGGGACTGAGGTGATGTTGTACTGAATCCCTGGGTCGTTGAAGTTGCGGCCCTTGCCAGCTTCGATGACCTCGTCCGAAACTAAGAAGACATCAGGGGGAAACTTCGGAGGAGATATCAACGCGAAATACTCACTGAGGTGGCAGTACTCAATAACGAGGACGGATTCTATGTCAATTGTAAGCAGCGCCTCATCTTCCAAAAGGCCTCGTCACTGACTCTTCCCGTCCTCGCTCAGCCGGTCGGCAACCGTCAGGCCGGCCGTACCAGCTCCGACGATGACATAGTCATACGCATCTCTCACTTGTTCTGTTCTTTCCAGAATCGTCGCAGACTCCAAGAGCATCGGTCTCGCGATGACAGATGGCACCGCCAGCATTGCGAGCACGCTCGCAAGCGTCACAGTTGATCGAAACATCATGAGGGGGAAATCGCAATCAAGCTACCTGCATCACGACCCTCCCTCATCTGCTCCATGCATCCCAGGATGTCCTCCGTTCTTTTAAACATCACAACGTCGCAATGCCCAGACTTCTCTTCTACCTAAACGGTCATCTACAACCAGCAAGCTCCGTTCCGAAAACCCAACTGACAATTCAGCCGTCAGCAACCAAGAAACGAAAACGCGGGGATCGCGCCTCAAATGCAACCCTCACCTCGGACTCTGGCTGATGGATGTCCTGAGAGAGTAATCCACAAAATACCCCATTGGAAGAACCAGACTTTGGCAGCTTTGGGGTAGGGAGTCTGACAGGCGTCGCCTCCCACCTCCCGCTGCGCTGTGATGCCAAGATTGCCTACGGATTCTCGCAGACGCAGTCAGCAAACCCCAATGCCGCCGATTCTACTTGTTTTGCTAACCTTCAATGCAGTCGGGTCTGATCCTTTCGGTAATGGGTATCGACCTCGAGAAGGCGCCATATTTGTACGTAACATTGTCAGATGTTCCTGCCAAGACACCAAGAGCTGCAAGGGCATGATACCCCCTGCCGGCTCACGGAATCTCCTCATTTTTGGGATAAGCAAATATGGTCTTCTCTCATCGCTGCCAGTACTCAAAATTGGATACCATCGAATCGTCAGATGACTCCGCAACTACCGTGTTGAAGTCACATTCGCACTTCTTCGTTCTAATTGAATAGCTGGCACCATACCGTCGAGTGCTGAGTCTCCCCAGGTACCACTTCGTGACGACTGGGCGGGCTTCTCCAGGCTCTCAGCCTGTGTCTGAAGTCATATGTACAATGCCTACCTACCATGGGTCGTTCCGAGGCGCCAATCTAGCAACATGTTCGCCCACGACTAACCCGAAGACCTCGCCAAACCCTCATGTCCTCCCGACCTCACATACCTCATCATCATCGTCCCATCCCGCCGGCTCCGAAAACCGGTGACGCCCCAAGGACCCAAAAGACCCCTTCAAATACGAAGGCGTCTGCACCTATGCGCCTAGCGCAAGGTTTCCCATGCGTATTAATATCCCCAACACTGCACGCAAAAATGGACTGCGCTCATCAGTCTTCGCGCAGATAACCACCAAGCTCAAGAAGGCAGGTCGATACAAGGCCCCTAACATCGCAAATGGCGGGTTGGAGTCTTGGCTTCCACGGTGAGGTTCCCTCGGAAGTGGAGATGTCACCTCGTCGGCTGCCGCAACGGGACAAAGCTGCCGGGGTCGCGCTTCCGCGTCGATGTTCGATACGAGAAAATCATCAACGCAACATGGCATCACGCAAAAAGACGATCTTGCGAGGAGGGGATTGCCAGGGCTCCGACTCGGACCGGGTTGTCTTCATAAAAGGTCACTTTCGCCAACTCATGATGCGGAAGAAGGAGGAGAGGTCAGGCATTGTGCACTCAGCTCGATCGCCCGGATTCTGAGATCCTCTTCGTTCGTTTTTGGAGGTCTTGTTATTCGTTTTTATTTAATTTATTTTTTTTGGTTGTTTTAGCCGACCATGCGTGTTGCCAGTGCGCTTGTGTCCGCGCTGGCCTTGGCCGGCACGGGTGTTGCCAAAATCTCCCGCCGTGCTGTTGACGAGAACGTCCGTCCGTCTAACGACACTGCTGTTGAGCCCAAGAAGTTCATCTTGGAACTTGAGCAGGTGAGTTGGCTACAGTGGAGACTTCAAGATGTGACATGATGCTGACAACCCACCAGGGAGCCGATAAAGATGCCCTCGTCAAGGAGATCGAGACCAAGGCGGGCAGCAAGGTCCTCAAGGTCTTCGACTCGTCCATCTTCAGCGGCATCGCCGTCGAGTCTGACAGCGAGAACACCGACTCGCTCGAGGCCCTCCTTCCTGTCGTCAAGGCCTGGCACTCGAGCCGCATCCAGCTCGCGCCCGTCGTCACCGGGGACTCCTTCAGTGACGACGCCGCCGCGCTTAACTACTCCATCCACTGGATGACAGGCGTCGACAAGCTCCACGAGCAGGGCATCCTCGGCAAGGGCGTCAAGGTGGGCATCGTCGACACCGGCACCGAGTACACCCACCCCGCCCTGGGCGGCTGCTTCGGCGCCGGCTGCAAGGTCGCCGCCGGCTACGACTTCGTCGGCGACGACAACTACTGGCCCTACCCCGGCGAGGAGCGGCAGCCGGACGAGGACCCCATGGACGCCGCCGGCCACGGCACCCACGTCGCCGGCATCGTCGCCGGCAAGTCGTCCGAGTTCACCGGCGTCGCCCCCGAGGCCACCATCTACTCCTACAAGGTCTTCGGCCCCAACGAGGGTACCGGCGAGGAGGTCCTCATCGAGGCCTTCCTCCGCGCCTTCGCCGACGGCGTCGACATCATCACCGCCTCCGTCGGCTCCACCGGCGGCTGGGCCAACAACGCCTGGGCCCTCGTCGCGGACCGCATCGTCCAGCAGGGCGTCGTTGTCACCATCGCCGCCGGCAACTCGGGCGACGTCGGCCCCTTCTTCGCCAGCAGCGGCGCCTCCGGCAAGGAGGTCCTCGCCATCGGCTCCGCCGACGCCTCCATCGTCTCCGCCCGCCAGTTCGCCGGCACCTTCAACCTCGACGGCCAGTCCAACCGCACCATCCTCGGCTACCGCCCCGCCGAGGACCTCTTCCCCGCCGACATCGTC